CACATGGAGCACAATCATGCCAATGCATTTGCTTGTTCAAAAGATCCGGAGAAGAAATGTTACTGTCTCGTTGTTAATAAAGATAAATTTATAGTCCAATGTACAGATTGTCCTGGGTTACCTTGTATTTCTGAGTCTAAGTGCAGGTGCTGGTTTAAATGTTCTACAGATGCTCCAGATAATACAAGTAAGACCTTTATTCTGCCTTTCATACATGTATGCATTCATTCACATTAAAAATATACATTAAATTGTGCGTTTGAGAGAGTCATATTTTTTTGTTATAGGTAAACCAGGGATGACTTGTGTTTTTAGATTTGGACTTGTAGTCCTCTTTGCTTTGGCTGGATATTTAGCTTTCTACTGTTATTCTAGTAAATAAAGACAACTTCAGGCTGAATTATTGTGTTATCTATTTTGTTTACAGTTCCAGAACTTGTAATTTTTGGACTAGTACTTGTGGGATTAATGTTAATTGCTTTAGCTAAAAGAAAATTTACCTGGAAATTTAGTAAGTAACTGTAATAAAATATAGCCAGTATTACTGTTACTTTATACAGTTGGGAAAATAGCTTTTGTTGGAGTTTGTAGTGCGATTGTCATTGGGACTGCTACTACATGGATAATGACCTGGATTAATGGAGGTGATGTTGCTAAGCTGGAGCCTCTTGTAACTCTAGTGACCACTATCCTCACACCTATTGTAACTCTAGTTTTTAATAATTTATTTGACTTAGACAAATAGGCTTTTTTAAAGTTATAACTATTCTTGTATTGCCAATTTGAGATTGGAATTCGAAAAAGCTTTGAATTTATGAATTTTGTAACGTATTCATTACATCACTATTTGTGGCTGCTGTATCATCATGTGAATTCCACCTGTGAGAGTCATAAATAATTATATGTACTGTACATATCATGCCGATTACTGAGTTTGTCTCACTGACAGTTAAGAGAGAGTGAGAGGAGAAAAATCCTACATGTAATTACTCTGTTCTGTAGTCTGCATACAGGTATATTCTATTCTTTGAATGAACATTATAATTATTATTATGCCATACATGTACCTTGTTGTATTAGACAATTAGATGTCCACCCACCAAGAGTAGCTGAAATACCCTTAGCAAATTATGGAGAGGAAGATATAGAATTTTTAAATTTAATATTACAGTATCATTATTATCATAAACTATCTCATATCTTTAAAAATAGTTTGTAACCTAGGATATTACTCATGTTACTATAAATTTGTATTATAGTTTTAAGAATTTTTTGGATGTGCCTTTCTGGCTTTGATAGTAGTTACCGTTTGATTGATTGTAGCTTGGAAAATGGACATGACATTTGGGTATATTGTCTCCTTTTCTTGGACCCATTTTGACAGAAATTTTGAATGAGCTCTCTAAATAGAACTGATGGCAGAGTACAGTATAGGGGGTATATTTCATGAGGATATAATTTTGCTAATTTCACAGTTTTGAAACATTCGTGAAAATTTTTATTTATGAAAATTATTTTTTATCATATTAATAATGGTCATTAGAAGAAAAATGCAAAATTTTTTTTTGTGAATAGGTTGAAAGGTGATTTTCGTGAAATATTTTCCCCGGAAAATATATCCCCTATACAGTATTTGCCTAAATTTAATAATAGAGTGACTTTAGTTTCCTGGGTACAAAACCATATGGGAACATGTTAGCAGGTCGGCTAGGTCCTCTGTAGCCTATACACAATTTTTGATATTATTTTTATACCCAATTATTGTTAAAATCTTCTCAAATTAATGAATATATTGATATTCATATGGTAATACCCTGATTATGGTCCAGCAGTATTCACAGGTATTAGTATATAACAAAGAGTATATTATTTTTCCTGTTTGTCTAGTCTCCAATTAAAATTTACAGTAATAAAATGCATGTATATTAAGTTTCATCATGCATAATGAGGTAGTCTTTTACCACTGGCAAATAATGAATAGATGATGCAGCCAGAGAATGAGACAGCAGATATCATTAGGAAGACATAAGACCAGTTGTTGTATGAGTGTAATAAATGACCAACTAATGACACACCAAATACACCTGAGGAGAGAGAGAGAGAAAAGACAGGAAGAAAGAGATATATACAGAAGAAATTATTCTAAAATTTGTCAATAATTATTTTAAAGTTCCTAAAATCTTTATATGTAAATTTGGCACATAGGCATGTACATGCATGCAGTCTGCTACTATTACTGTATTGCTCCAAATTTCAATGGCCAAAAATTTCTGTGATATTTCAATAATCATGAAAATTTTAAAAAGTAAAAATGTAAAACTACATAAAAAATGTAAAACTGTCACTGATTCCAAGTTATGCAGCAGAAATGAATGAAGTACATTATTTGACAGTAAAAGCAAACAAAGGAAGGTCCATTGTAAAAGATCAAATTAAGTAGCCATTAACTGATAATATCCGATTGGCAGCTGTAAATATTAACTTGAGTAATGAATCAAATATAATCATACTCCTCAGTCCTATTAATTAGAATTATTATTATAACTATAATTATATTATTTTGACATACTCATTTGTTACTGTGTGTAGCTCATAGCTCACATTCCTATCATACATCATATTATTGGCCTGAGTAGTAGCAGTTGGTACTGGTGGTGGTACGTTATTAATTACTGATTTCTTGCAACTAATAAATGCAATAAAAACAATGTCCATGTGCAGTCAAATTTAATGTTATACTTACCGATAGGAAAGTACAGCAATCAATATTAATATCAATATGATATTAAAGGATATACTCAAACCAGATAACACTAGTGCTGCATTAGTAGAGCCTGTGCCTTTAATTGAATTGAGAAATTTGAAATCAAACAATCAAACTCAATAACTTACTGTCATCATCAATGATGGTCACAACTACTGTATAAGAGTAAGAAGTAACATAATATCCAGATATCGAGCATATTCTAACATCAAAGGATTCAGTTGATTCCGGCACATCATCATCCACTAGTGATATTGTATGTGAAACTGAAGACTGTCCACTTGGGATTGTTATTGTAGCAGTGAATGATATATAATCAGTGCCTACAAAAAAGTTAAATTTAATAATATTGATAGTTAAACTTATAGTTTAAAAACAAACCATTTCTTGCTCCACCACTAGTTGGTACATCAGTTAATATGATAACAACATCATTAAGAACAGGCTGTGCTGATGTTATAGTAATTGTAACACTTCTATTGCTTTCAGAAACTATGTATTCAGGAGAACTGAATGTTAACAATATACCTAAAATAATAATGATGATTACAACAATAATAGTTTAAGAATGATCCTATTAAAAACATATATAACATAGCTATATAAAATTTTCACAATTTAGAATTATAATACATGTCTTACGACTATTATCATAAATTTGGATTGTAGCGTCTGATTCAGTTACTATTGGTGAACCACTGATATATGACATTTTAGCCTTAAACATTTCTGTATACTCAGATACTGTAGATGGTAATATTGTGACATTATAAGAGAAACCTGTAGACCCAGCAGGTAGAGTGATCTCCTCATTAAATGCAATGTAGTCAATGTTCCCTAGAAAAATGAAAAGGGAAGAGATTTCATTATTGTCAGTCATTTCATATATCGTATGATTGCCAGAGAGAGACAGCATAATAATAAAGAAATATTAATTTTATAGTTTATACTTGTCGCAGGATAGGTAGCACCAGGTGTAGGTACATCAGTTAGTCTAATAATAGTTTCTCCTAATAGAGGCTGTGATGTAACACCAGTTAGAGTAACATTAGCGTTGGTGGTCTCCTCTGAAGTAATGTAATTGTAACTGGGAGAGAATCGAATGGTAGAAACTAAAGAATACAAATGATTTAATTTAGGAAATGAGAATAAGAAAGGAAAATTACCATCAGTATCATTAATAGTTACAGTAGCATTGGGTCCAGTAACTGTCAATGGCCATCCACTAACAAATTCTAAAGCTGCACTGAATTGCTCAGGAAATTCTGCCTCTTTATCATTGTAGATGTATACAGTATAAACCCGTTTTGTATCACCAGCACGTAGAGTGACTGTACTATTGAAAGATGAGTAGTCAGTTCCAGCTATAATAATAAATCAATGGAAACATAAATGAAATTATAAAATAATTTAATTACTCACCAGTAGCTTGATGAGTTGTTCCAGCAGTTGGTATATCATATAGTCTAACAATGGAGTTACCAAGAAGAGGCTGAGATGTCACAAATGATATGCTAATCCATACTGGTGCCTCAGTTACATTGTAAGTAACAGGGTCAAACCTTACTAAAGTAGGAACTAAAAAAAGTAAAAAAAAAACTGGCAGTAAACACAATACAAGAGTGAGGGAGAACTAACCATCAGTATCATTAATAGTCACAGTAGCACTAGATCCATTAACTGTTAATGAGTTTCCACTAACAAACTCTAAAGATGCACTGAATTGCTCAGGAAACTCTGCCTCTGGATTAGAAAGGATGGTGATAGCATAATCATATCTTGTAGACCCAGCAGGTAGAGTGACTGTCTCATTGAAAGTCACATAATCAACTCCAGCTATAGTGAAGTTATTATAGAAATTACATAATAAATGACATTCAAATACTCACAAGTAGCTTCATCAGTTGCTCCAGCAGTTGGTATACTGGATATTCTAACAGTGGATTCTGCACTGAGAGGTTCAGATGTCACAAATGAGATATTAAGCGTTACATTACTATCTCCCTCAGTTACGCTGTAAGTAGCAGGATCAAACATCACAGTGGCAGCTATATTGAAAGGTAGACCTTACCAATCCATTACTAAATCTACAGCAGATACTTACCATTAATGCAACAGATACTCAGTAATAATAAAACTAATATCTTCTCCATTTTATTTTCTTATTCTCCTTCTCTTTCCGATGTTGTCACGCTAAAGTTTTATTTTGTACGTCACTTAAGGTATTATATGTGTTTACATTGTAGACTAGTGCACATTAAAAAGGAAAAGTAATCCAATGACGAATAGACTAATGACCATCACTATGATAAGTGTTTTATTGAGTATTGATAATCAAGTGTCTTAACTCATTTGGCATTTCATAGCTCACATATTCCTATCATGAGCCATAACTGGTTTCAGTAGTCACTATACAGTTGATACTGTTGCTATTAGTCATTGATTTTTATTAGTCATTGATTTTACAGCTATTTGCATAGACCTTGCAATCTGCCAAGTAAGTGGTGATATGACCACACAATGCAAGACACACCTCAATTTAGACAGTCCCCTTTGAAGTTCATAGATTGGTTTATGAATTGGTTTGCAGGGTCTGTGCAATTTGCTGTAAAATGATAAATAATGTACAATAACTATAATAATGCCTCACAATCCAGGACCCTCAAGCTCAAAGCGATTCCTTGCATCAAACCTTAAATCACTTACACAATTTTGACTGTTATGTACACTGTAAACCTATAGCTTCAATCACACATCAGTCTTAAATAATGCAAATTAAAGTGATCTCTTCTCTCAGGATAGAAGATTCCCTACTATGTGTATGGAGTGCCAGTTGTAAACACTGACTGCCTTAAGGAGTGAATGATAAGGCTATTAGATCTAATTTAAGCTAAATCGAGTTAACTAGAAACAGTAAACAATTGATCATAGGACTGCTGAGAAAGCAGCTCAAAAAGCTGATATGCAGGGAGTTTGCAGGATTCACTCTTGCTTCTGGGGTGCTATTGCAGCAAAAATCGCTATAAGAGATAATTTTTATTTTTATAATTTTTTCTGATACATACATAATAATATACATGCTCTTGTTGCAATGATATTTATGGAAGTGTCCTTACAAGTATTTCAGAGGTTCATTAATTGGGACTGCTACTACCTGTCCTGATTACTGAGCTCCTTATTTTAGAGTGCCCACAGTATCAAGTTTCCTCATGCATATTGTGAGGTAGTCTTTTCCCACTGGCAAATAATGAATAGATGATGCAGCCAGAGAATGAGACAGCAGATATCATTAGGAAGACATAAGACCAGTTGTTGTATGAGTGTAATAAATGACCAACTAATGACACACCAAATACACCTGAGGAGAGAAAGAGAAGAAAAGACATAGGAATAAAAAGGATAAATATAGAAGAAATTATTCCAATTCATTTACTGTATAGCTCCAAATTTTGATGGCCAAAAATTTCCACTGATATTTCAATAATCATGAAAATTTTAATTGCAAAAAATACTGGTCACTATTTCACAAATATCTATAATTTTCAGAAAAATTACAAAAAAATTTGACCACAAAAATTTGGAGCTATACAGTAGTAATTCACATTCTGGTACTGTACCAATAAGAGCAGAGAGTCCACTCATAAGACCATAAAGAAGTCCACTATAAGAAGGAGCTAGGTCTATTGGATTGATGGTAACTCCTGATATTTCAAACCCTTGAAAGAACAGGGCAGCTACAACAAGACCCAGACAGATATTGAAGTCAGCTAAAGGTCCACTCTGACAGGCAATGGCTAAAAAAAAGAGACAAAGAGAAGATCCAGCTAGTGATAGTCCTTCCATTAACTTCCTTGTAGTTGTAATACT